TTTGCCTCTGCCTTTATGAACATTTGCTGTAAAACCAACAATTCTTGCTTTTTTTATTTCAGTGTTAATTTTACCTCCATCGAGTAGGATCTTGACAGCAATAAATAGGGCTATTTGAAGCTAAAGCGATACGCAGTGACAAGCCACGTGATGGAATCTGCACTCAAATCTTTCTGTCACACACCATTATAGGAATAGCTAAAAGACATGATGCTACCTCCTATCCAGGGTGCTAATCACCATCAAGTTTCTGCAAGTCATATTAAAACACATTAAAACAAATCAGTGGCACAATTACAAATTAAAATAGAAAATATTCGAGGCTCTAAATTGTGTGTGTTTATTCCACCCTGACTGTGTGACAATTACTGGATAAGTGTTGTCCCCAGTGAGGGGAAGGAACAGATGGCAGCCTGCTAAAAAGCACATACTGTATATCAATTTATTAATTACTAAATGCAATCTGCTAGACGTTCATCACAAGATACTTCAGCTATTAAATTTCAGAGGGATTAGAAATTCAAAACAAATTATTTTAATAATAATTAACTTAGCTATATGTATTGCAAGCATGTTATTTCCTTAGTTTAAAAGCCTGAAATGATTGGGTACCATCTGTCAAACTACCATTACAACTTTTTTAATATCAAAAGGGCATTTTGCTCAGGTACACAGACAAACACTGAACAAAATGAATTAAAAATTAATGTTATGGGCATAGTAGGACACTTAGAAATCTCACCCTTTTTGGTTGATTGCTAGAGCAGAGAACCTGCCTCTTCTAGGAGAGTGATTTGTTTCTGAGAGGCTGGCTTGAAAAGCCTTTACCATTTGTTAGCTCTTTCATGGTGTATGTAACAAATGCTGATGGTTTTCAACACATTCTTGCAAAGGCCTTACTCTATCACAAAGTCAACACCACAGCTGTGAGCTGGCAATCTACTTTTTTATGTGCATGTGACAGCCTCAGAACAATTTTCTGTGCCCCAATCTGCAAGCTGTGGAAATACATCCAGCAGGTCAAATAGTGTTGCAATTTACAACTGGCAGAGATGAACACAAGTCTGAGCCTGTACCTTCCCCAGTTCTGCCTCAAAGTCTAACAAAATATTGATTAGACAAAGGGCCTAATTTTATGACTGCATTCTTCAGAACAGGGAAATTGTAGAATGATTCATGAGAAAATACAGAAAGAAGCCCAGTCTTAGATGCAAATTTAAAGGATCCCACCATCCTCATGACCCCATGACCTAGCCATGACCCCAGCTAGGCAACTCTTTAAAAGTCTGAGTCTCTGCTCTCTGACATTGCCTTCTAGGGGTGAAACATAATGGCAGAGTATTGAGATTTTTGAAATTTCCTTCATTTCTGAACTGACAATCATATCCTCCTCCTAGAAGTGGTTCAGGATACCCATTGCCACAAGTGACCAACTGCTTGGTTTCATAACTACAATTTTTATTACGCTAATTGAAGTTTCAGACTTCTAAATTAGAAAAATGGGTCATTTTATTACAGCTCAATGCTACGAGAGCATAGAAAATGGAAATAGCTCATTCAGAATGTCAGAGGGCAACTAGACAATTGTGTCATCCTTAAAAATTATATGGCTTCACCTCATTCAGGCATACTGAAAAAATTCTCCCAGTCTTAATTATTTTCCTAAAATCTAGTATCTCTGTAACAGCAAAGATGATTTGTGGAGAATGTCAACCAGCACTTCCATGGTCTTTAGGCATTTTTTTCTTGTAGCACATGGTAACTACTAAGGAAAGATATTGTCTGAAACGATCTTTGAGGAAGAGGAGTTTTGTGGATTTTTTTCTTGTTTCTAAAGCTACTTTTTTTTTTTTAATGTAGAAAGGAATGCATTAACATCATACAGTTTGGGAGTAGGAGGTAGAATCTGCATGAAGTCAATTTTCAGAATCATTAATGAGATTATTCTGCAATGAAATGCAGAAAATGAAAAAGAAAAGTGTGAATCAGTAGCACAAATCTTAGCTAAACATGAGACCAACAGCTAATTTCAGCAGTGGAGTCTGTCTCAGGCAGAGCTATGGCAACTGAAGAGCATGACTCGGATGCTTTCCCAGTACTTTCTTTCAAAGTTAAAAATCCACCAGCAAACAGAGCATCTGCACAGCACTTGCAATGCCTCCTGAATGCACACAAGCAGCTGTCCTCATCCATTCCATGTGTGCAAGCATCACTGGTGCATACACAACCACGTTAATTGCATGTTTGAGAAACACAGCAAACACTGATTCTGTGATTAACATCAGGAAATGCAGACCCTAGGAAGAAAACACAAGTCTCTAAGCTAGTATGTTTGCTTGCTTACTGCTTCTCTCTCACTTATCCTTGCATTTTTCCACTTCCACTGAACTTCCTCGTGCTTCCAAACAGCAGCTGTACCTGTCCCACAGGGCACAGAGATTTCCCAGGGAATTAGGTTCCCATTTGAGCACCCTTATCCAAGAGTATGAGATTAAACCCTCTGCCTGGGTTCCTATAATTTCTTCTTCTTTGGATTCCAAACAATGCATCTCCATCCTCAATAGGTCCAACACCCTTCTAGAAGTCTGGTTTTGCTTCTGAATTCCCTTAACTTGTAGTAAGACTTCTCAGGTTTTAATGTTTTCATGTAACAACTTCATGAAAATTACTTTCATAATTCATGTAGCTACTTGAATTATGAAAAAAAAAAAATTCCAATTACAAAAATATCCTTGAATTTTTAGCCAGACCAGAGTTCAATAACCAAAGCAGCAGTGGATTCCATTATTTTGAAGGATTGTTTTCAGACACAGAAAATGGCTCAACATGCTGAAGATTAACCAACTGTTCCACAAAAGTATTACCCAGTGCCCAGTTTAGCAAGGAAGGTGCACCTGCAAGGAAGGGACAGGAATAATTCCATGTGTCACAAATAGCCTACATGTAAGAAAAGTTGAGCAGGATTTTCAATGTCTCATCATTTAATTTTCCTTATCCTTAACCTAAAATTAAGAACTAAACCCAACTGTTTTCATACAGAGCAGAAGAAGGAACATTTTACTTGGCCCAAAGGCACTCAGAAGAAACCTCAGTAAATGAAGGCCTAATGTCACAAAACTGCTGGAGGACAGAGTGGGTACATTGTTCCTTCTTACCCAGGCAGTGCAGAAACTCACCTGGGGCCAAAGGAACCAGATTCAATTCTTTCTGCCTGAAGTGAACTGAACCTACATATTCCACCTCCCAAGACAATGCACCAACTACTTCTGCAAGGTTCTGAGGGACCATCAAACCTCTCAAACCGATGGCATTCTGTTTTGCATGAATAATTCAAATGCAGTGGCATGCTGAGCCCCAGCTAACAAAGCATTTCCATAGCACGAATTTTTCCTCCCACTCTTTGTCCTAGGCTCAATAAAAGTTTCAAGTAAGAACAAAAAGAACAGCAATGACAAAGTGGGTCTTTCTTGCCCCCACAGGTTTTGGGTTCAGCCTCCTGCTCCAAATCAAGGAATGGGTATATTTGAACATGGACCTTTCACCTCTTCAGTGAGCAGCCAACAAAACAGCATGTTCTGGCCTACGTTTTTCCAAACTGCTCTTAAAGTTACCCAAAGAATCCTGACATCTATCAGTCAGCTGCCAGTCCCTTCCAGATCAACACAGTAACATTTACAAGGGACTTTAACCAGGATTCTTGTATGCAGATAGAAAATACTGAAAATAAACCTCAAACCAAACTAGTCTCAACAGCATTCAAACTTTTCTAAAACTGTTCTAAAAATAAAAATGAAACATGGACTAAATTACTGTTATCTGTCTCCTACTGCATAACATTATCAAGGCCAGAAAACCTGGCTTGCAGGGACCGTCATAGTGGTATAACAGGCTGGCTAAGAAAGGGGGAAGGAGAAGCAAACAGAGCTGGGGGAAGAGTGTAAAGCATCAGAAAAGTCACCTGTGGAGGTAAGAAGAGGAAGTGTTTGAGCAGAAAATTGTTCCTTCAGACACTGCCCCAAAGGAAACAAAGGTGAGAATGACCCTGTGCTAGCAGCAGCCCAGGAATTTACTGATAGCAGCTTATTAAGTGGGAGCGAAACACCCCCCTTCACCCCCCTACAGGAAGAAAGAGTGAGCTAGCTCCTGGTTTTTGAAAAATTAACTGTTACATTTAGCTAAATTGATTTACATTTAGTGATGCCATAGATGGTTTTCCACAAAAATACATTTTCATGTAGTTATACAAGATTTATGGTACTTTAAAACTCAGTCCCATCAGTATGAAATGCAACACCTTCTTAATACTGCCAAAGCCTAAAAGCAAAACAGTTTTTGTATATATCTGTGTCTCACATTTTTCATTCTATATGTATTCTTGTTAGTAGTATCAAGGATAGAATTAAGATTTTTTTTTTTTTTTATTTAATCCTTGGAAGAGGATTAAGATGTGTTGAAAGATGGGAACACTTCTACTACCACCAGCTGTGCTACATCCCCTCTTTGAATATACAGCTTTGAAAAAAAAATACTTTAGTAAAATCCTTTATATAAATCGATATCATAATGCAATTGTTCTATATCTTAGGCAACAAGCTTGACCAAGTGTAAGGTAACAGCTAAATGTTTTAGACATTAAGGAAATAAATGCAGGGGGAAAAAATGGCAAGTAATTTATTGTGAATGGTCATTTTCTGGAGAGAAATACAGGTGAAATAGGGATCTAAATATTGCACTACATTTCTGGTAACTAATGAAAAATTATATAGGTCAAATCTGAAAGAACAATATTGCTGAAATGTACACTACAACCTATTCCTCTACCAGTACTGTTCTGAGATGGACCAATAACACTGCAACCTTAAAGCTTATTTTAAGTGCCATAATTTCACCTCAGTTCATGTGCTATAGAGTAGCCACGTGTATATATACATGTACAAAACTGGCACATATTAGTTTAAAAGAAAGACCAAAACAAAAGATAAGTGGAGTTTGGTACTCACCTCCTTCTCCTGACCCAGAGCCATTATCTGAAAAAGAAGCAGAGGGGGAGAAAAAAAAGAAAGAAACCAAATGAAAATATTGCTCTAAGAGCAGCTGTTTGTTCAGGAACTTGTCACTGTAAAACATTACACAGATGTTACATTTCATGAGCCAGCTGTAAAAACAAACATCCCACATAAGGTCCTTTAATATGGTTTGTCCATAATCACTGTGCCCTAGTCTCTCTCTTCCCTGTCAAGATGTTACTCAAGGAACAGCATTATTCAATATTGAAACCAAATATCTTTCTTAGCCTTTTTTCAACCGTTTGAGACTAAAATTTGTTAAATCCAAAAGACATGAAGAGAACAAAGTCTGATTTTGGAATGTTTGTTTTTCTTTACCCTCTAGCCTTGGGAGTGGCACTTCAAGGAGTACTTCAATACATAAGTCACCTGGCTGCAAAAGTACCTCCAGAAGACAACCAGTCCTCCAAGAGAAGTTGATTTAAGTCATCTAATGGCAAAATAGCTTCTGTCAGTTGAGTCAATCATTTTGTATAAAGATGCTCTAATGGCATTGTTATTTTACTGACATTTGACTGACTGGATTAGCATCTGGTGAGTGACAGCTTTCAACTGGATCCCATTTGCCTTAGCAGTTCAAGTGTCAGCAGGACTTGAGCTTCTTCACCACCCCTGGCCAAGTAACTCTGCTTCAGATCATTATGGATCTGTTTAGAGATTTGCATGCGCATCCCGCTGGGCAGCACACTGCACAGGCTTCAGCTAGCACAGTGCTAAAGACAAGCCCTTAAACACATGAACTGAGTCACAGAACTTCTGTCTTTCTTGCTCAAAGGAGAAGAGGAGAGACTGGAATGGCAAATACTGTCAGTGAATTGTTTCCCATTCCCATTAGATTAGCTTCTCTAGAAGCTGAGGAGAGGAGCACAGCATGCATTCTGCTCATCCCACACCTCTCCTTTCATGCCTGCTTTGGTGATGGAGAAGGCAGCTGAATTTATTTGCTAAAAACTGAAAGAAGAAGGAGGCCAGACAGAGAGAGGAGTGGGAATCTTCCACACATGAGATTGTTGTTCACATCAGAGGAAAAACCAAACCCTCAGTTTGCTCAGTTCCCTCCCCTGCTTTTCTTTAAGGATCTGTATTTCTAAGAATAATTCCCTCTAGTGCGTGGATGAAAGTGTGAAATTCCACGTTACTGGGTCACTTCATACATTAAAAATAATCTTCTGTCACGTGGAGTATCAGGAATAGAGATTTGTTTTTCTTTTGCCTTAATTTTCCTCTCTTTCTCCCTATATCGCTATTTGGTGCCTAACAGACTGAGCTCATAACCTTACAGAAATTAATGCAAAAACCAGAAGGTTCCTTTTTCCGTCCATAGTGACCCACTTTACTGATGAAGAAGGCAATCCCATAAAAAATGACATTGTTGAGTCACTGAGAAATATGCCTTATGATGCAGAATCGCTTCATTGAGAAATTTGAAGGAGCATAATTTACTTATATGGGTTAATATATAGGATTATTTGTGGTGGTCAAATTGTGTCATAAGCTGTTTTGGGAGAGAGGAAGCTGACATACAAATATGAGCAAGTTCATATGAAAGACAAAGGGAAAAGTGTCTCAAAGAAGCTTGACTTTCTCTGTGACTTTATTTCCAGCTATCAGTCTCTGACTGTTTTCCTTTCCCCTGAGGTGAGAAATGCTGCTCAGCTCCATTGTGAGGGGCTCTGGCTAAATCCTGTGTATGTGGGACAGGGCAGGTACCACACATGGAAAGCACCCTGTAAATCATGGAGCTGATGCTCACACCATCCCTCTCAATAGATATACATGAAGTCCACCTGGCAGGACATCACAGCAGCAGGATAGATTCATTCATTGCTACTTCTCTGGACTTCCCGTTCTCAAAAGGGATTAAAAAAAAAAAAAAAGTGTCATCCTCTATAACACTGTATCATTTTCAACTTTTCTCTCAGAGCTATGCTAGGACTCTTGTCTCCAGGGTAACCATGCTAAACTAAGCTGGTGTTCCTGCTTTTTTTCTTTTCCTTTGATTCCTTTTCTTTTCCTTGATTTTCCCAGGCAGCTGCTGGTTAAAAGAGTAGCATTTTTTTTCTAGCTTACTTGGACAAGCAGCCCTGCTCTTTTCAGGCCCTTAATGAATTCAGGGTTTTCAAAAGTTGTCTCCATGCACCAAGATCTGTCAAGAGAGATGCTCAAAGAAGTGAAGATGCTGGGCACAAACAGCATTCCCCCAGCCACTGGTCAGTAATTAGAGGAGGAGTGAATGACGTCTATCTTTACTTAAGCCACCCTTTACCAAATAGGTGCCTTTTCCTTCAAGATGTTCAAGGCCAGGCTGGATGGAGCTCTGAACAACTTGGTCTAGTGGAAGATATCTCTACCCAGGGCTATGAGGAAGGAACTGGATTATCTTTAAAGTCTCTTCCAAATGAAACCATTCCATGATTCTATAAAAATATGCTAATACACAAATATACAGGCTTCTGCTATGAGCTGCTTTTATCCATAAGGAGTTTCTGGATAAAATACACAAAGAAGGACTTGGATCAGACACAGCATCTGAAAGCTGTAAGCACTCAGCTACAGTCAGAATCCTTTCTTGTTCTTTCTGAACAGGAGCCATTTCTGTACTGTGGGTCTGCTTTGGTGCAGAGGTAGAAAAAATTCCCCAAAACCAAAAACACTTGCAGCCTCTATCATTCAGGGGGGATGGCTTTTAACTCCAAGTAGCACGAAGATTGAAGCCATCTCTTCCCCTTTTAGAACAGTCCACTGACAAATTTTAAGCAAGCAGACCCTTCATAAACCACTCCTAAGAGAATAATACCAGTGCTTGTTTCTAGTTCTGCAAATAGCTTTACTCTCATTTTTTCTTTTTTTTTTTTATTTTTTTTATTTTTTTTTTTACTTAGAAATCCCAAGAGAAAGCAATGGACTGTGGCTTCCAAATACACATCCATATACAGTACATTGAGAAACTGCAAGTATAATCAAGTACTACATCATTGTGTGGTTACATTTTCATGTGCATATAATATAAATCTGGCAGCAGTCAAGATCAATATTAAAACCTCTATATGCAGACTCAAAATTTCAGCCATACATTCTCTTTCATTTCTCTAAGCAACCATTTTTAACATCAAAACCTGCATTTTTTTTTTATTTCTAAAGCACCTATAATTGGCTCTTTTTTAAACATTGTTTATTTTAGAATCTTGAAACTCTGACAGCCTTCCTACAAAGGAAATAAATACACTGCAAATCACCTATGTCTGTAAAATTCTAATCAAAATATTACCTGCCAAGAAACAGAATAATGATTTAGTGACTAAATCACTCAGTGTAGCTTTTTCTAGTGCCATAGCTACAGAAGGTATCAATCCCAAACAATCGGGGAATATTTTACTCTTGCATGAGATTCAGAAGTCTGATATACTTTAAATATTAAACAGTTGTTCCAACACTAAGGAGGAATTTCATCCTGTTGTCTTGGGTGTGCCCCACCAGATGAAGCTTTGCTTTAGAAAAACAAAACTATGATAGGAAACCAGTGACTCTGTACTTGCATCCCAAAGATGCCCTAGAACAAAATATTTTAGTAGCAAATTCAAAGACAACCAGTGAAAATTAATGGTCTACAAAATATCTTTTCATTTGAGTATCTGATTCTTCATTATATGTGTAACAGATCAAGAGCACAAATATGTCACTGTCTTGGCAGGTTCCTGATGATGGCTGATCCAATATTTTCACACCACCCAAAGCACATCAGGCACTCAGGGAGCAGCAGGTACCATTCCAGGGGAGCTCTGCTGAGGCACTTCTGGTTGCAACGGTGTAAGTGCAGTATGCAGCCAGAATCAGAACCCCTGTTTCACAAGTGTGTTTTCAGTAGTTTCTGGAGCACTGTGTTTCAGCACATTTCTTGATCTGTTACACTAAGTGCTAAAAAATTATGCTGCGTTTCCTGGGTTTTATGTAGAATTTAAAGAAAAGGAGAGGAGGTTGGAAAAAAATCCCTGTACTGGCTGAATAATGTAGTAATTAGCTGCCAGCAACCTGAGGCTGAGAAGAATCGATTTTTCATTTTGAAATTTTTCTCTTAGTAGAATAGAATGCATATATAAACAAACACTTTTTGTTGTTCCTAAAACATTATTCTAGAATTTTGTTTCAGTGATAGAAAGAAACTTTCATGTTGTGTGTCCATTTCTTAAAATGATTTGGGCATGAAATTAAAAAATATTCTTTATTTATATATCCTCAGTTCAAACCTTCATATTTCTTGGGTGTTGTTATAGTAATATGAGTCCTCTAAAACTAGATTGCATTTTTTCCCTATTTCTGCAGCATCTGGAGATAATTTACAGGTGGGAGATTGGGAAAGACAGTGGATTCAGTCATCTGCCTGAGAGATGCTGGAATTATGCTTCTGAGCTGGGCACAAAGCATGGGCTTCCTTCAGTATCAGGACCAACAACACAGATTATTTTGGACCCTAGTAAACATGACCCAGACCTCAGGATGGGTCTGTTCTGTAGTCAAAGGCCTTTAGTCCCACTGGTGTGAAATATGCTGTGTTTAAGTGAGGTAACTGGGACCGGCAGCAGTGAGGACTTGGACTAGGTACCCTGCACGTGCATTTATCCTTATTTCCAGATAAGATTCTGCAGCTTGACAACTCTAAATTTTCATTGCAATTAACCAACATAAAGTTAGTAAGAAGTGTGCATCTCACCCATGGTCATGCTTTTGGCCACCATATAGATATAACCTTGTTTAGATTAATCCAAGCAGCCATTCTATATCCAAAGATGAGGGATGTCCCACAGCTTAATAATTTGTGTGTGTTATTTATGTACCAAAGATTGCAGTTGTTTACACTACTGAGTCATTTAATTTCATTCTGAGAAAGCCAGCCACGTGTCTGGTATCACCAGCTTTGAATCTACCCAGAGGTTCAGAACACCTCTGAAGTGGTTAAAGCTCTTTGTCTAAGAGCATGTTGTAATATTCATGACAGTGAAAACTTGTCCCATTTATTTAAAAGGTGGAAAATCTATGCTTTAAATGTGTGAAAAGACAAAAAAGGCAAGTTCACTAGAAATATGAGGTAAAATGATTTTGTAAGTTATGCATGTTTTCAAAGTAATGACCCAAGGTCAAAGATGATGCCTTGGATAATAGGTAGAGCGCAGTCAGGATGATCAGTGTCACTTGCTGGATGCCATGCTAGTTCTGTTTATCCAAGAAATAAAAGTCCTAAAGAAATGGCTAATTTGGAGCCTACTCCAAATCTGTTGAAAGCCTTTCAATGGATATCAAGGCCTCTTTATAAGCAACACAGAAGCATTCAAATCTATTTTCTCAGACAAAATATTTCAACTTGTGATGTTTATTTATTAGTCTGTTAGCATATCAGAAGATATATCAGACTTCTTGTCTAGCCAAAGGTTCCATTCCTAAAGAGCACTTGGGCTTCCCACATTATTTCATTCTATGAAAAACACGAAAATTTTAATTGCTGGAATTAAGGGAAAAACTAAAGAGCTAACCATAACACATCATTCATTAGTGACACAAAGTAATGTTTTACATACCAGAATAACAAGGTCCTCTTGATACCATTGTTATCTCTTTCTGGTGCTTGCAAGCAGCTCTCCTGAGGAAGCATTCATTTTGGTAAGTGTCTCCATTTGATCCACAAACTGGAATATAGTTTGTGTGACACTGGAAAAGAAATTATAAAATAACCTAGTCATACAGAAATCAAGTGATTAATCTCAACTGCATATTAATATACAGGAAGATAGTTGTGTTATTAACAGCATCTTATAGCGCTTTTTGCTAAAGAATGATTTGAAACATATTAGTTTTTCAGTATCACTAAATGTATTCCTCTTGGATCACTGAAATAATAGTCAAACTCCACATGGACTAACATAGGAATTCAGTAGGAAAGATTAAAAGCACAAAATAACTATGGTGGGACTTTTTACTGGCTAGAGGGAATATGTCAGGCATCTAGAAGTATTTGAAGGATAAACACTGAGGAAGGAGAGAACTTCTTCAAGATAATACAAGAAAGTATGACTAGGCACAGGGGAATGAAACTGAGCAAAGGAGAATTTAAGGAGAACAATGCTTAAGGGGAGATTCGCTGACCTCCTTGGTCAGAACAGTCTTATAAAGGAGGTGGAAAACAATCACCATTCTCATTAAATTCAAGAGCATCATGAGTCTTTTACTTGGTCAATAACTATAAGAATGCTTTTCTATTACTACACTGAGAAATTTAAATCTTCAGTTTAGTAGAATTTGATACAAATAAAAAGAAAGAAAGGAAGAAAGGAAAACTTATCATTCAGAGTAGCTCTTGCAGAAGCTACCTACATATTGCTGTTTTCTTATACTCTAACAGAAATGGATTATAAACCCCTTGTATACATAATGTGCATTAAGCTGCTGGGACCACCAATCTGCCGAGCATCCGAGAGTGCTGCACGGCTTCCTGCTGAACTGGGGATCCAGACCCTGCCTCACAGCTTGGAAAAGAAGGTATTGCTCTGTTTGGGGGTGCAGAGGTAACTGTAATGACAGACACCTTTTGCATCTTCAACACCCCAATGTAAAAAGAACCCAACCAAATATGAAAACCAAGAAGCAATGATGAAATACAGAGTAGCTACCAAATTCCTTAGCCACACAAAGTTTATGATTAAACTGGTGTAGTTCAACTCGTGAGAGTACATGCAGAAATAACATTAGTTAAGTTAAAATGACTTAAAAATACAAGTTTCTTCTCCAAATTCCAAATGAGAGCCTCTCCCACAACAGTTTCTTTGTGTTTTGACATGCATAAAGGTCAAAATATTGAAATCTTAAAACATAATTTTGAAGGGTATTACCCTCCAATCCTTTGTCATCCTGCCATAGATTACCAGCTGAGAATGAACTAAGCAGGTATGGACAGAAATAAATCATGCTGCCAGCTCTGAAACTTATTTCTAACAGTTTTGTAATACTTTCCCATAGTGAGTAGCTCTCAGACACTCAACCACAGCCACTAGTCCTGTCACATGCCATACTGAACAGTCATTTCTAGAGAGTAATTAACAGGCAACTTCCAAGGGTGACAATACTTTCTGATAGATAATTCTCTCTTCAATAGATAATTCTCAATTCTCCTTAAGTCTCTGTGTGATGTTTTAAATTTGCAGGTTCCGTCCTGAGGATAGAAAATGAAAAGTAAAGCGATTCCTTTTTTGCTGTTTGGTAAGCCTTTAGTGATTTGGTACAGTACAGCCCAAACTTCTCTGTGAGAGCCCTTTAAGATTAAAGCTGTTTTCTTGTGAGGAACTCCTCTAATACTTCAAATGGCCAAAAGGGAAAGCATCTCTTCGTGCACAGGATCTGCTCAGCACAATGTGCCATGGGAAAATCCATCTGAGCTCCATCCAGTGCTGTGAGATTTCAGAGTTTCCAACTTCTGAATGGGTTGAAAGATTTCCTCACTTTGCTCCTTTTCCTATTCTGTCCTATTAAAGCAGTTATCTTATTAAACTGATTGTTTTCAAGCCTTTCTTACTGAGATTGGAAAAGAGCCCCATCATGTCTCTCCTTCTCCTCACCCCACTTTACCCCATCTTACCTCCCACACACACTCACTAGGTGTTGATCAGCTTTTCAATCAGGTTTTGTAAAACTCATCCAAAATACAGCAAAAGATCTTTCAGCCTGCAGAGCTCTTTCTGCCATGACATTACAGCTGTTTCAAGCAACACTGAAATTTGTCATTCATTTTCCCTAATCTGAAGAAAGTTTGTACTGGTCTTGGCCTCAGTTCAAGGGTGGCTGTGGTTAGTTGTGCCCCTCTGTCATGCAGACCTCATTGCAGTCACAATTTCCTCATGAGGGGAAAAGGAGCAGCAGGCACTGATCTCTTCTCTATGGCAGGACCAGTGACAGGATTCGAGGGAATGGCCTGAAGTTGTGTCAGGGGAGGTTTAGGTTGGATAGTAGGAAAAGGTTTTTCACCCAGAGGGTGGCTGGGCACTGGAACAGGCTCCCCAGGGAAGTGGTCATAGCACCAATAGAGTTCAAGAAGTGTTTGGACACTGCTCTCAGGCACATGGTGTGACTCTTGGGTGTCTCTCCTGTGCAGGGTCAGGAACTGGACTCGATGACCCTTGTGAGTCCCTTTCAACTCAGCATATTCATGGCTTCTGTGATTTCCCCTCCAGCAGGAGCATCTCACCTGATCATAACCTGGATCCCAGATCAATTTGATTTTGCAACTCTCTTGTTAGGGTACATTTTTCTAAAAATTGCAGTCTCAACAACATAAGAAATGTCTTCCTGGATGGGACCAGTGTCACAGTTATCCAGCTCTGTGATGAATAGGAAACACACTTCTGAAAGAACAGGCTGATATTCCCACATCTTCCTTTCAGTGCCTCTTCAGTGGAACCACTATACACAGACCTGTCTGTTTTCCTTTCAAAACCTTGCAGTATCAGAAAAAAATTAGCTAGCTCTCAGATAGTCTTGCATATGAGGAACCTAATAATTTGGGTTGGGTGTTTACTGCCTGGATATGTTGGTGCTGTTAGTTTTAGCGAATTGAGTAAGCTAAATTAACTTTGAGAGTTACAGGAAGATTTTCAGCCTGCTATGTCTGAAAAACACACTGTCTTCTCCTCAGCCAAAGACTTCTTTCCTAATAGTATAGAATAAATTTTTCAAGAAGTAAACATGCAAGTAGTTTAAAAACAATGCTTTTTTCAAAAAATGCATTGTTCAAAACATAGGAACAGTTTATCACATGGACTAGTTCTTTTTTATATGTCTTCAAGACCTGGTTATTAGGAAGTCACCAAATTTACCATCTACAGAAAAGAAATTAATCCTTTGGATATCCTAGGGTTGAATTTATTTTCTTTCTTTTTTTTTTTTTTTTAATCATTACAGAGCTTTGGTTTTACATAAATAAGTGTTACAGACAGACTGAGACATAAGAAAAAGCCGCCTCTTATAAGAATTTTTTCTCCCTTTAAAAGGCAGTTAGAACAATGTCCCCAGCACAGGTGAACTCAAAACCCTATCAAAAGCCAGCTCTGAAACATTGGAATACAAAACCAGTGTAAGATCATATACGCGCCACTACTATTCTGGTTCCCCTTGATTTATTATTTATTGAAAACAGAACACACAATTATTTTTAAATCACTGAAAGACACCCCACTCCAGGGTTTGCTGATAACACAGCCAGCTCTTCCGGTTTTACCGTGAGTCTTGTACATAATATTTCATACATTTGTCCTGGTTATAAACTGTGAAAAGAAAAAACTGCTGCATTGTTTTTTCTCTAAAAATGTTAGTGGCAGGAGGGGAGAAGAATTGCCATGATGGTTATAAAAACTGCAAACTAAAGGCTCAAAAACCAGCAAAAAAATTGAACCTGCTATTTACTTATTTTTAAAACTTCAGAAGATGTTTTTATAATTTATTTTTTTTCCTGAGCAGGACTAATTAATTGTTCTAATTCATAACCTTTATGATCACTGGTGACCCTGCTTTTATCTGATCCAATCAGTGCCACTGAAAAAGGAGTTTATGGTTAGAGCCCATAAGCCTGTTGCTGAGCTGAATTTTTAAAGCAGTGACTCTACAAATACTTCCCTTCACCTGAAAGATTTGTCAGAAATGGCAAACGAAAAGGTGAGCAGCCCTTACCTGGAACTGACACGCACACTTCAAGCCATCGCCCTCCTCCTTGCACACTCCTCCATATTTACATGACGATTCATCGCACACTCTTACATCAGATTCCCTTACATTTAACTCTGCAGAAAAATAGAAAAAAGAGACAGAAAAGAAATTGTAAGATGAGTTATTTTGAGCCTTGTCCTTAAACGCTCTGAGCACCTCTGTTGCCTTACTCCCATATAGAAATTAAAGGAAAAATGCCAGAGCTGTTCCCCAGGCTGCCCTGCATGGGCTCAGCCCTGCCTCTGGACTCCTCTCCAGGGGCAGGTCCTGCTCCCCAGAGGCAGCTTTGCCTGGTTAGGAGAGTGGTTGTAGGTAAATGCTGGTTCACCACATAAGCAGACACAGAGAAAGCATGTGTTTATACTACCCAAATTCTCTTCCATGTTTCACCTCATGGGGATGCCACAGTATAAAACCCTTCTCCACAGAAGTTGTTTCTGGTAGGAGTCAGGACCTTTACTCAGGTTATAGCCCATGTTTCTCACCTGCTACCTCTTTCTGGTTTACTCTCCACAAAGGTCCTGAGGAAGTAGAAAAGCTGAACCATCAGAATTTCCCTGCCTGTTTTTCCAGTCTCTGCCATGGCCACTGTTATCCTCCAGACTTAAAAATAAAGCCAACTGTGTTTAAACTATTATAATTTGCTTGCACTGTAGGAGCCAGAGTAATGAACCAGAGATCTGTGTCTTAGCTCCTGCATAAAAATATGGAGCACAAGTGTCAGCTCCTGTCACTGTAAGTTTGCAGCACGGGCACAGCTGGCAAGAGGGAAACCAAGGAAACACATTAAATGCATAACCACTAGCTCCAGCACAAAGGTCACCTAACTAGTTTCAAGCTCTTTTTGGACATCACAGTCCAAGGCTAGTTTAAAAAGAGAATAAATACATTCTTTTGAGATAAGTATTTGATTTGAATTATATATAGGAAAGAGAGCAAAAGAAAGCACAAGTGGGCTAATGGAAGTGGTCGGTGTCCACCTAAATGTGACCTCATCAGGCTGTGTGGGAACAGTGCTGGTACTATTGATTCCAATGAAAAGGTGAAAATAGCACCAAGGGTTCTGGAAAAACCCCCTGACACTGTTAAGTGTGCAGTGAAATCAGAGGATATCATTCAAAGATGTCTGTGCTACGGTTCAAGCCAGAAACCTTCAGGACTCTATAGCAAGTATGATCCACTAAAGAGATTCGCTGACAGCGGTGTGATTTAAAATAATGCCTGTGACGTTTAATAAGCAAGTCCTATCCAGAAAACTGGCTTAAAGAAAGAACTGAACACCAGCCATTCAGAAATGGGGAAAGGTAGGTCAAAAGCAGAAGAAAATAATCCTCGCTGCCACTTAAAAGTCTTAAATAGGCAATCAGCCTCCTCCTTACAGCAGTATCAGCACTTTGGTATGACAGTGATAGACACCCTGGAAAACCGCTCCTATGTGTTTATGTAACATTATACACCCACACATATTGTTCATATAAATAAATAAACAAATAAACAATAATTACTGCAATAAATTTTACCACTTTTGCCTCATATGCTATATTTAACATAGCATAATTACGTATTTTTTCATGGCACTGAAGTTACAGGATTACAGCTCAATGGAAAGTCCAGTTATAATCCACATATTTTTTTGTCAACCACAAGAAAAAATTGAGAAACATATTGATTCTTTTTCCCCCTATATGTCCCTCACTCCCAAAGGCATAAAAGAGAAGGGCAAGGTCTGTAACAATGGGCAGATAGGTATTCTGGTTGCCATCACAACCCTGTGCTGTGCTCTCTAATATTATTCTTAATGTCGCCACTTATCAAGCGTGACTGCTGCGTTGTAGGGACCAAGCTAATGTGACAGAACATTGCAGCTTTTCAATTTAATGTGCTCATAACTCGCTCCTGAAGGAAATGTGCCTTTCTTTCTCTTCACGAAGATCTGTTCCACAAAGATGAACAAACTATCAGAATTAATTAAGGGGAAATGACTGTCATATCTGAAAGAAGGGTCCACCTTTAGGTGATAACACATTTGAGAAAATGCAATTCTAAATAGGAATAACCATACAGTCAAATTACAGCATGTACTGCTTTCAAAATACAGTGCTATTCAGGTCAGGAAAATAATGAGATGTTGGTCCCCCCTGCTCAACTCTCAGCTGAGCACGCTGGACTCTGCTTTGCAACATCCTACCCTGTGCTCCCCACTGGCAGAAGAAACCCCTTGGCAGCTGCAACTCCTGCTTGGATTTCTGGCAGTCTACACAATGCCCAACTGCCTAAGCAGTGCAGTGCAGGCCTTTCCTCAGTATTGGTTTGCCCCCAGTGTGGAGAGGGCACACAGACATCCAGAAAGGAGCACCTTCACCACAGTGGTGGACAAGGGACTGCAGAGGGGAAGGATGAGCTGGGCTCAGAAAGAGAGGCCAGATAGCAGTTCAGCTTCGAGGCTGAACTTGAGATATATTTTTTCATAGCTTAGCTATTGTTCTGCCTGCAAAAGCCAGAGAGAAAGGGGAAGATTTCAGAACAAAACTATAAGAAAGGATATGAAGAATGGGGGTGCAGAATTAGCCCTTGTGAACCTCCCTCACCCCAAGAAAAAAAAATACTTTTGGGCATTTTTTTAATTCCACAGGAGAAATTGAGAGGACAGAAAGCACACTGTGCATTTAATGGCTACTTCATTTTAGGCATAGACTGTTTTTCTATCCACATAAATGATAAATAGTGATTATAAGCTTTATGGCATTAAATGAACACTGGAAAATCATATTGTCTCCTGGTCTCTGCATGACCTTGCTAGCTCAAAGTTGCACAAAAAACAAGATATCCTGGTGACTGGCACTTGAACTTGATAGATGAACTTTATTCTGTGACAGGATGTCACCTAATCCCTTATTCCATTCAGAGGCAAATTGTAGCAGCAGCAAAATCAGGCCTCTGACATGTGCATGATTACATCTGATGGAATCACAAGTACCGGGAAGTGTGGTGGCTATAATTACTTCTGCACCTACAGCATTCCGTTAAAAAATGAATACACGCGGATGGGTGGATGGATGCTAATAGAGTGATGTGAGGAGGAACTGAAGATATCTTGCATGTCTGAAATGTGCTCTCTTTTCAGTGAATTCCCCAGAGACAAAGAATTAAAACGGGGTTTCTGCAATTATTTCCAGAAGAGCAGAATCATCATCGTAAGAATAGATCCATGAGAGGAGCAAGAATATGTAGCAAACAGTTTAGGGTAATTTCTTGCATGTTTCTTAATGCCTGTTGTAACTCATTTCCTTGACTTTCAGTAGGTATAAATAAGAGAAAGCCTCAGTGTGATTCATTACACACACTGAAAATATGCTAGGTAGTAATCCATCAATTCCCAAGAGAAAATATAATTAGCGCAATTAAATCAGGCTTCCAAATTTATGATAAAATTAATCTCCAAAGGCCTTAAATGAGGTATTAAAAATGATTTGCTAGTATCTGTTCAGCCAATACACTTCCTGGTTGTGTGAGGCCTGACTGGCACAGAGCAGCTTGCAAAGACCCACAGCAAGGTCTTCTGGGTTTGCCTTTTTTTCTCTGTTGAGAAGACTTCACTTTGCGAAAATTTGTTACATTGCTAAAAATGAGAAAACCTTCTCCATTTTGACTCCTTTTAGAGAATGTGAAGTACAGCTTGATACAAGCAGCTGAAGATTGGCTTTTTGCTTGTGGCCTCAAAATAAGGATCTTGTTATAAGAGGTAAATTACATGTGTCAAAATGCTGAACCTGAAGATGAAACCAAATTTGTAGCTTTAAGTCCATCAGACATATTTCTTCCATCTGGATACCTCAAGAATAAAGTAAAATTTAAGATGAGAAAATCTGTTTGCTTTGCTTTTTCAAAACTCATGTTTCTCCTGGGGTTAGCAATAGTACACAGTAACGATGAATGGATATAGGGAACCCAAAAATACTTTTACCACATAAAAGTGAGCATGTGAATATTGCAGCTGTTGCTGAGGGAAAAAAACTCTCTCTGGCTGCCTGTCTATCTGTTTTCTCTTTCTGTGGGTAAGATTCCAAACAATAGAGGTGTCAGGACCCCTTGTTGCCTTTTGCTCTTGACCTATGGGTTTGGTAAAAAAGGGGAAGCAATTGCCACCATTTGCATTAGAGGGGAAAGGCAAGGCTTTTCTGTCCTCCAAACAGTTTGTTCTTTGTGAAGCCAAGCTTTAAATTAGGATGTATGACCCCTCATGGAGGTCATACATAGACACATACACATGGATAGACCTGGGAGAGTTCGTAAAAAGTCTGTAACTCTACAGCTTAATAGAGTCAACATTGGCTTGGAAAAAGACTCAGGAGAAATTATGTTGTGTAAGGATGTGTTAGAGCACACAAAGTATGCTGGAGATAGTGATGTTATGGCTGGATGAGTCACAGAAGGCGAAATCTGATGAACAGAAAACCTATAACTGGCTCAGTTTTGGGAATCAATCTTATGATTTTGGATTGGCTTGGGCAAATCCCTGGGTTTTTGTTTTTGGGGTTTTTTGGTTTTGTTTGGTTTGGTTTTGCCATATTATTTATAAATTAATGGAGAATTCAATGGGGGAAAATAAACACAAAAAAAAATATTTCCCTTATAAAGGGAAATATAAAGCTGAGGTGCTCACACAGTACAGTAATAACCTGAGTCTTAAATCAAGCTCTTGAATAAACCTTTACCTGCCAGTCACAACCTTTGCCACACAACAAAGATGATACTCAGAGCCAGACCCCTGATCCCATGCTTCCTTAGGACAGCCTTCCCACTTCAACCAGGTGAGTCTGAGCGGCACTGCAAAAAAGATTATCCAGGCAAGTATTTTGGATGTCCCTGGAATACCTCTGCTCACCTCCTGCTGCCAGCTCAGAACAAAACGACACAATTCTCCTGTAAATCCTACTGATCCCTTGCAGACACACGAGCATCCCATCTGGCAGTGGCTTCAGTCACTTCTGATTTCCATCACCTACAGTGACTCTGACATTGGTTCAGACACTTAGCTCACATGCACACATCTATACATAAACATTTACATTTA